AAGGACTATCTTATATGGGGTTGGGCAGTTCTGTAGCTTTGCACTACACCCAAGGAACTGCAGTGCTTCTGGGCCTTATTAACACTACTTTGGTGGAATAACCTGGCTGGTTGTTTAGCTGAAGATGTGCCTCCCCCAACTGCAAGAAAAAGTATTAGCAGTCTGAAGTCGTGACAGTGCTTGCAGCAGCTATGTGTGACCAGTAAAGACACACAGAGATGGCTATCCTTGGAGAATTCAATCAATGATGTTGGGTTTCTACCTATTCAGCCAGCTCTCCCCCATCTTTCTCTGTTCTGCTTGACTCATGGTTGGGATTGGTTAACAAATATCCCTGCATTAGTAATATCATTTCATAAACATAGATAATTATAATATCACTGTGTTTGCCAAATGGCTGTGATTACTCATGTCACCATTTCCAGAACCAAATAGTGTCCCAGAGTAATTGGAGAAAAAGGTTAGCTAATAATCAGAAAAACATTGAAAAAGGATGGGAAATATTTAGGAAGATTAAGGAAATGTTTCAACTTATCCAAAGCACTAATTCAACCGAGACCCTGAAATCAATAAATAGTGAATATTTTCTCCAGCTGTTGCAGCAATGCACCAGTAAATATTAATGATTCTTAATACTTTTGATTTTAAGTAGAAGTAAACATTGTAAAATATTTCATGGAAAATATAATTGTCAGTATCTCATCTGCTTAATAAATGATACTTAGGAACATTTATTATGGTAAAGTTATTTTTTCTTATAGGTCATTTATTTTGAATGGTTTTTTTTAAAAAAAACAGCTCTGTTTTCTGTGTTATACAAATAATCGTTGCAGTGATGACAGTTGCAATGAAAGGCACATTACATGTAAATGAAAGTAATAGTTAATAGGAGACCATTAAAACACTATATAATGATAAGCAACAGACAATACAGAAATTGTATCACAATGAAATCAAGGAAAAATTCAGAATTACCTTGCAGCTCATGAGTTCAATAACACCATGCACATTTTAATAAAGAATAGTTATTCATTCCGAAAGCCAGTGTTAGTTTAATTTGATTTTTATTTATATTAGGCAGCTAGAGATTGGAGAATTGAATTTGACAAGTATGACCTTTTTCCCAGAGGAAGAACTTTGAAAGTTGCTCTTATTAGGAAAAGACAGAACTCTTCTCAATTAAAAAACTGTTGGCATTGCATAGTTGGGGAATGAATTATATCGAAAGCTTGCCTCATTTGCTCTTGCTCTCTTCCCTGCTCTTATAAGTAGAATATAGAAAAATCTAGTGGACTTCCGATTAGGCATTGCAGCATAATGGACACAGGAAGATGGGGCTCTGTGTTCCATGTTTGATTTTGCCCTGCTAGGGACCCTAAAAAGTCACCCCAGAGAGGTGACAAAGAAGGAGGGGGCCCTTGTTGATCATGGAGGGGTGGCAGCCCTTCCTCTGGAACCAAGGAAGCCCCCCAAACCAGCAGGAGAAAGATTGGCTACATTCATGTGGCCAGTCAGAAGCTGCTGACAACCAAAGATGAGCACTAACTACCAATTTTTGAGAAATGTGGATGCTCAAAATAGATTTTATTCTATTTTTATGACCTTAATACTACTTTCCTGGAAAAAAAAGAATGCCCAAAGCAAAGAATCCTCCCCGATGAGAGAGGGAAGGGAAGTTTTTGCCCTGCTTCCTCAGGAAAAGAAAAGCGGTGAATTAATTGCTTTGGGGGGAAATAGAGAAAACTACAAGATCAATTTGGAATTAATACAGATATATAGCTTTGAAATTTGGGGACTAAAAGTACCTTTGAGACTTTTTAAAAAAATATATTTGAAAGTCTGTAAAATAGGCTTGGATTTGGAAAGCTGGAAGATGGTGTCAGGACATCTAGTGGCGAATCATGGCACTACAATTTATTATACTTAAAGGAAACTTGACTTGAAGCCCGGACTTAGATAAGACTCTTTGTTGTTCCTGGAAACTTTCATTTTTACAGACTGTAGCTGGGAAAATGGAAAAAAAAACTCTTGGGCTGCTTATCTGGGTTGGGGATCCTATTGGACTATAAAGACTACATAAAAAAACGAAATGGGTGTTCCATACTTAGCCGCAAATGGTAAAAAAAATCTTTAACACTTGTCCCAGCTTGATATAGCAGCAAGAAAATGTTAATCAATCTCAGAAATAAATTATTTCTATGTTGAAATCAATTCAAGAGACAATTGTTTTATTTCATGATGAGAAATAAACATAAATGAGATAAAAGAACAATTTTCTAACCTAAACTTACAAATCAGACAATGACTACAAAGAAGGAACTAGTAAGCCAGAAAACAGAAGGAACATTAGAAGAAACGGATCCAAAGATGGAGGACCTAAAGGAAGGAATTAACAGACAGATACAGACAAATGAAAAATTAGAAGATGCAGTGATAACACTGGAAATGGAAAAGATATTTTACTTGTCAAGATCTCAGAACACATTTGAGGATAAGGAAGAAGAGCTGATTGAACAGATGATGAAGCTGTTAGGAGAAATGCTGAATATTGACAAACAAGAAATGAAAAGAAAAACTGAAGAAGGATGGAGGCTGTTTAATGAATATAAATTGGTTGAACGTTCTTCCAAAAATACTTCAAATTATCTTCCTCATTCCAAACAATATATAAAAAACAGGAAGAATTACTTGATGATTCAAATGCACTGACTTAGAAAGTTATTGGGCAAAGGAAGAAAGCTAGAGTAAGACTGAAGAAAACAGAGGTTTTGACCTATTAAATGGGATATTACACTATTAAACAGATGTTTGAATATGATTAAGAAAATAGATAACTGTTAGAAATAAAAGTATTATAATTAGAAGGATAGGATTTGTAACTAGGATTTGTAACTTTGTTATGAGATCGGAAATAAGAAAATTTTAAAAGGGTTTGAATAAGGGAAGCTTTTGATTAAACAAATATAATTTATTATGAGAAAATTATTAAAAATATAAAATTATAGAGATATTTTAAACATTGATGGGAAATTAAAATTTTAAAAAAGCAGGAAAAACAGAATATTGATTGAGCAAATGGATTTTAAGTGCAAATACAATTGAGATATGTTCTGGCTAGAAAAGATATTATAAACTGAAACTACTGATATTATGTATAATACCAGAAAAATGTGATGAAGATGTCTATATTTAATTGTATATGTATTAACAGTAACAAGAATTGTATTTGCCCAGAGTGGAAAAATGCATACCACCGGAAGAAGATAGGACCAAGGAAACACTGGACGGTGTAGTATTGGAACTAGACTGAGAAAGTTAATATGTAATACCACTGTATTACCAATGGACCCGGACAACACGTTGTTGTACTCATGATTAGAAAATTAGAAAATTAATAAAATATTTATATAAAAAAATAAAAATCTAGTTCAAAATAATTTTTAATTTTCCGTTTCAAAATAAATTAATAGGATAGTAATCTAAAGTGAAGAATGTGGACATCAGTAATTGGTCTTGATTGATTCTAACCATTGGCCAGTGTAGCAAAACTTCATGGTTTATGGCCAGTCCTCCAGCATTATCTCACTATACCATCTTCTACATGAAAACCATAGATTTATGTTAGAATTCAAATGAGGTCAATAAAGAACAACAGTTATTTAAAAAATAGTTGAAAGCTTTAAAACAGGGGTGTCAAACTCGCAATGTCATGTGACGTGTCACAACGTATTGTGATTTTTTTTTCCATTACCGGCAGTGAGGTGGGCATGGTTTCGGCATGATGCATCAGGCCTGCAGGCCGGCAGCTTGACACACTTGCTTTAAAAGTTTACTAGCTAGTCAGATGTGTGAATGATTTTTTTTTTTAAAAAAAATACATTTGAAATCTATATATGAAACTTATGTGAACTTCCATTAGACTTTCTGATGGCTTGTTTAACTGACTACTGTCTTCCAGATTCTCAGATAACTTACTGTTTGAGACAGATGCTACAATCTTATAAGTAGGATGGTGTTGTAGGGTTACAATGCTACACATGCATTTTTAAACAGACCTACCATATCTGGGCTGCATAAAATCAAAGTGATCACTAGATGGCAATCAACAGTTAGGGTTGTCTGCACCTTGTTGCTGACATTTAGTTGTGTGCTTGCTTGTTTGCATCCTAGATAAAGTAGTCTTAGTCTTATAAGTATTTTTAAATCTTCTACATAAATGTGGACGCAATCAAGTTATTAATTTATTATCATCTGTCAGTTTCCAGTTTATTCTTTTAGAAGTTAATTTCCGGCGCATTAATTTAGTGAAGGTAGATATAGCTGGCTGTGGCCATTTCATCAAATCCCCAGACACTAGACTCTCCATTGATCTCATTGTCCAAAGAAAGACTTTAAATAAATGTTTAAAAGCAATGTTGAATCTGTTTTTCTATCTAAAAAAAAAAAATAATTGGCAGTTCTAACCTTATCTTGTCAGTTATTCTTGATGGATAAAATGCAAAAGCTTTCTTGAATCGTGTGAAACTAATCAATTCTCCATCACCTCTAGCTGATCCAGATGAATGCTTGAGAATATGTTTTCTAATCAGGAGGGGAATGGTCTTAACAAGAATTTGGCAATCAGCAGTAGTCAATGGTATTAGCCTGCCTTATAGCTGCCACCAAAGATTTCCTGCTTGCTTATTCAAGAATTGTTGTAATTAATGTTTGTCTCGTTCCTTTGGCAAGGCAGTTCTTACTGAATGCTCCTTGAAATGTCTCTTGCACACAGTGGACTTCAGCAGATTCTAGAAGGATTTACTAAAGTTTGCAAATCCCCAAATTTTAAGACTGCTCTTCACACTCAAATTACATTTTGTTTTTAATTATGCAAAGTGCTGCCATTATGAAACTGCACACACACAGACACACACAGAGAGAGACATACCCTACTTTAGAAAAAGAAAAAAGTTTTGACTATTCTTCACATGACACCTGTCTTTAATTCTGTGACATTGCAGGTATCTGCAATCCGATGTGTATGCATGGTGGGAGATGCAGCAGGCCCAATGTTTGTGACTGCCCATTTGGCTGGAAAGGAAAACACTGTAGTATGCGTGAGTCTGAATCTCTTTTGATTCAAAGATGCTATTTGTTGATCATTTCAAGTGCACCAGCATGAATTGTAATTGTTTTAAAGTTAATTATTTAGTTTTGCTTTTTCAGGATTTTGAACAGGGCTATGTTTTGGTCATTTAAATTAATACAACATTTTAGGCTTCCCAGTGTAAAAATAAAAGTCCTTCATTTCTGTCTGGCAAAAAAACTGTCAGTCTGTTAGGCAACTGCAGGCCTGGGAAACTGGGAGATGAGTGAATAGCAGAGGTAGCTCTGCTATTTTAACTTCCCTTTGTCTATTACTCTTTGTTTTAGCTTGATTTTTATAGTTTTTGATTTATTAACTGAGTTTAGCTCTGTTGTATGCCAGCCAGAATTGTTTATTTTGCGATGGTCAGTTTATAAATTGGTTTAATAAGTAATAAAGAAACACACATGTCCGAATATGAACATTTCTAAGGTTAGATGGCTGTTTTTGTTTGTTTGTCTGTTTTTGTCTTCACCTCAGTCATTTAAGCTTTGGGTAGCTGGTGTCATAATGAATTTTTGATGATCTCTCAGCCAGGGAAGGAGGATATCATATGCAAATAATGGTTTTTAAAAAAATCTTAAGCAACTGCCCTTGCCTAAAAGATTGTTTACATGGTAAACAAGGCTACTTTGCAACAGCTCTGCCACTCAGCATCCTACAAAGGGCACTGATCTGATTAAAGCACCATTTAATATCTTCATGTTCAATCTGAAATTAATGGGTTACTCTGTTAATCACTCAATCAATTAAGGATTTCAGGACCTAATAGAAAATGAAAATTTAATGACTAGGGAATCTGCCTTTGGAGCAAATCCATGATGAAACTAGAAGTCAGAGTAGCAGAGATTAAGGGGGGAACTTGCTAATCATGGACATTTCAGAATGCTAATAGCCTCATGAAAAATGCTCATTAAGCTCTTTTGAGATCAAGCTATTTTGAAAATAATTATAGGAAGCTAAGACGACATTCACTTAGTAAAGTGACTTAGAACTCATGGGCCATTATAAAGATCTTATTTCCTCTCTTCACCTTTATTTATTTATTTTTCAGCTGTGTGTTTACCCAGCTGCATGAATGGAAGTGAATGTATAGGGCCTAATGTTTGCCAATGCTCAGAAGGATGGGCAGGCCTCCTATGCCAAATTCGTAAGTAGTTTTTGAATATAATTGTCTTTAGTCTGCTTTTGTCTCTGTTTAAAAAACTTGTTCTGCCTATGAATGGATGCAGTTTTGCTTTGTTCCATATTATTTTTTAAAAAAAGAAGACAAAGTTATGTTCATATTGTTTATGAAAAAAAATGGAAATATGGCTGAGTTAAAAAAAACACATTTTGATATAAAATAAGTCAGATCCCATAGGTACCACTGCTTCTAGGATTGAGAAGACTATGCTATTTTGTCTTGCAGCTGTTAAAGATGAGTAGGAAAAAAAAAGTAGCAATCCCAGCTCAGTATCATAAATATGGTTAATTAGATTGGGTTTGAAATTTAGCAGTTCAAGAGCTAAGCATTCAAAGGCTTTTGCCATGATGAATAAATTTGTCTGTTTGGCTTTGTCCCCTATCATCATCATCATCATCATCATCATCTCTCATTGTAAACTACCTCAGGATTTCTCCTAATGGGAAACAGTGTGAAAATGTTTCGAATAAACAAATAACACAATTTATATTTTGTTTCTGGATTAATGTTTTGATAAGTTCTTGTCAAAAATGAATTACACATTTTTTTTTTTACCTTTCCTTCCATCCAATTAATAAATACTAAATAAGAAAAATACTGGAATGTGTAAGAATGTTTGGGATCTACATTTTTGAGCACATGGAATTGAGCTAACCCTGCTGTAGGTTTTAGGTGAATTTATAGATGATTCCAGTTTATTGGCTTTTACATTCAAGACTTTCTTGAGAAGTTTGAGACATTGGTTTGAAATGAAAACTGTCTTATTAGAAATCTGTAGAATTTGGAAATTTTAAATTATGCCATACTAGTCTTAGTTAGATGATCATCAGTGAATGTACAAGATAGAATAGAATAAAATAGAATAGAATAGAATAGAATAGAATAGAATAGAATAGAATGGGACCTTAGAGGTCTTCTAGTCCAGCCCCCCACTTAAGCAGGAGTTGGTTATTACTTTGGCACAAGGTGGCAGATAACAAATCAAATCAAATATTTTCCTGTAGAAAACCTGATTTAATCGTCACTTCTGTTAAAAAAATGATCTAAGCCAAATTGAAATTTCCTTTTCCTGCATCTAAAGATACTAATACTGCAGAATACATTCTATCCCTGGAGGAATGAAATTAGTGGAATTTGTATAACTTAAGTAGAGTGTTAGAATGCCAGGGTTTATCAAAAAGGCATCAGTTAATTTACAGTTACTATCCATTATATCAAATAGTAGTTGTAAATTAACTGATGTCTTTTTCACAAACCCTGCCATTCTAACAGTCTACTAAAGTTGCATATCCTCAGTAAAGATTTTTTTCAAAAAGTTCTACTAATTTCATTATACATTACCTCAAATTGTATACCATTTCTCAAAACCAATTTCACAAAGGATGTGGCTAAAATCTTTGCTCTAGTTTTTTCTTTCATTTTTTCAACCCAAAATATATGGTTCTTTCTTTTCTTGTAGAGGCACAGTTTTAAGTGATAACTTTATAGTTTAATATCATGTTTGTCTATTTGGAAGTAAGCCCTATTAAGTACAGTGAGACTAAGTTAGACCTACTGCTAGCTCCAATTTTAATTTGAAGAACTTTCTTCAATGTGCCCTGAATAAACAATCATATTTATACTCAGAAACAAGGCCTATTATATTCAACCAGTCTTTCTCCGAAGTCATTTTTCATAGTTTTAATGGCCTGATAGGAATTTTAAGCATGAGCAAGGAAAAGACATTTCCTTCTTCCATTTTACTCACATAAGTCAAATCAAGTTAAACATGCTTACAATTTGTTATATTGGATTGGTAAAATGTAATTTCATTATTACACTATGCAGAAAAGACACAGAGAAGTCATGAGCATCGGTATTGCTGACCAAGATAATTCTTCTGTTGAAAATAAATGACAGCATACTAATAGAAATCCCAACATTTTTTACTTTCTGCTGCCACCTTATCTAGGACTGAATTCTCTCAATAACTCCGCTTATGGTTTGATACGATGCATATTACTGCTGAGAAATCCTGTGAAAGAAGCGTATGGTAGCGCATACGAAAAGTTTAATTTGAAATTGTTAAAACAGGCACATCTTTTTTCCGTTCTTGCATGGCTGCTTCTGGCTGATTCCACTGGTGCTAGGCAAAATGGCTGTGCATGCACCCACAGAGATAGCCAGAGGTAACTTCCAAAGAAGCCACATGAAAGATGCCATTAATTTAACATATCAAAGAGATAGCCTTTGCATGCCCTCCAATGTGTCCAGAAGCATCTTTGTCAAAAGGATTTTCATAGTCCTAAAATATAAAGTACAGTCCACAGCATCCCTCTTATGTTCACTGAATTAAATACTTTCATGGCTCCAATAATTAGCCCCCAAATTTCCTTGTGAAAATTCATCTTCCGAAAACCGCTTGGATTTGAATTAATTTGTTAAAAAGCTTGCAATGCAATCAGGGGAAAGCAAAAGTCATCCTTACTAACAATATGTGCTGCAGTTTTCACTTTCTCTGTCACAGAACACAGAAGACATTTTCAGGAAGATTAAGTGTTTTAAGTTGAACATGATCGTTATCACTCTTATCTTGAACAATCAGAATTGTTGCTATACAAAATAGCAAAATCACAACCATAAAAATAACAAGGGTAAAAATGAGAAGACTAACTAATCTAAGCAAGGTGAATCATCTAAATATTGGCCGCAAGAGCTAACTGTGGCCAAAGATCAGGAAAAATAGAGGTTAGCTCTTTTAGAGTTTTTTTTTATGACCAAAATCTTCATTTCACTCTTTTTGTTAGTTTGATACAATATGATTTCTCCTGAAGCTTAAGGCAGCTTCTTCTTCTCCTTACAAAAAAAATACTAACTATAAGGTGGCTTGAGCTGACGGAAAGGAATGGTCCAACATTGGTTTACCCAGTCTTAGGAACACCTGTACATAGAATATCAAGCTTATGGTCTCCTAAGTCATTTTTTACGACCTACAGCAGTAGTTTAATGGCATATCCATACCATGGTACTCTTAATCTTTGTCTCACTGGATATATAAAAGAAAAAATTACTTGAGGCCCTCAGGGTAATTAATTACCCTGGCTCTTGTCATTGTGCGATTTAAAACTGTTGCCTTAACTGCACCATGTGATCATGTTTAAGAGTCACATAGCCTAAATCTCTTAAGTTCTATCAATTTAATGGGTTTTTTTGCTTATTATTTTTTGATATATAAAGCCGCATAAATTCTCACAGTGAAGCTTGATACTGAAAAATGTTGCCCATTGGAATAAACGGTAATAATTCTGAAATCCTAAAGTTGGCATTATGATGGAAAATAATCTCTTCCTATTAATGTTGGTTGAGCATCCTTTGGCAACAAGCCTTGCAGTATGACTTCAAATATTAAACAGAGGAACATTTTCAGAACTATATAATGTCAGACACAAAGAATCAGGACCGTTTAGCATAGATTTTACAGCATAGATGATTTATTCAAACCTATACACAAGAATCTAGTCAATTAATGGTCTACACTGAATTGGCACTGAATAAGGGTCAATGGAATTCAAGGGGGGGGGAGGCTGGACTTCAGAGCCCTTCAGCTCTGCCTGCTCTTCTCCTTTACATGTTTTTAAAAAGTATACCTATTTACTACCATTTTAAATTCACATTATGTTACATTTTTGAAGCATTCCTTTATACAAGGCTTAACCAGGACTCATCTATTAATTTATGTAGCTGCCAAGATTTAGTAATTCCAGAACTTATATCAGGAATATCACTTCTAGGTATGAGAGTCCCTCTACCTAAACATCACAGAATATGAGGGAGAAGCAGGTGGCCTCAGAATCACGTTAAATCACACCAGTCTTTGCAACTAGTGACCTATATAAAGTCTGCAGATCCTGGATTCCCCATGCGGTATATGCTGATATTGGTGGACATACTTGACTTTATGTAAGAATGTTTAAATAAAAAATGAAAATCTAGAATAGGCAAAAAAAAGTATCATCCTAGAATATTATCATTACTTCTACTTTATGAGACTACTTATAACATGCTAAAAGATCCCAGATGTGCCTACCTTTATGTGCTTGACCCAAGACTCTGAGCTAAATAATAATAATAGAGTTGGAAGGGACCTTGGAGGTCATCAAGTCCAGCCCCCTGCTCAGGCAGGTAACCCTATACCATTTCGGACAAATGGCTGTCCAGTTTCTTTTTAAAAACTTCCAGTGTTGGAACATTCACTGCTTCTGGAGGCAGGTTGTTCCACTGGTTAATTGTTCTCACTGTCAGGAAGTTTCTCCTTAGTTCTAGGTTGCTTCTGTCCTTGGTTAGTTTCCCTCTGTTGCATCTTGTCCTGCCTTCAGGTGCTTTGGAGAATAGCTTGACACCCTCTTCTTTGTGGCAGCCCCTGAGATATTGGAACACTGCTATCATGTCCCTCCTCGTCCTTCTCTTCATTAAACTAGACATACCCAATTCCAGCAACCGTTCCTTATATGTTTTAACCTCCAGTCCCCTAATCATCTTTGTTGCTCTTCTCTGTACTCTTTCTAAAGTCTCAACATCTTTTTTACATTGTGGTGACCAAAACTGGATGCAGTATTCCAAGTGTGGCCTTACCAAGGCATTGTAAAGTGGTATTAATACTTCACGTGATCTTGATTCTATCCCTCTGTTAATGCAGCCTAGCACTGTGTTGGCTTTTTTGGCAGCTGCAGCTGCAGCTGCAGCACACTGGCTCATATTTAAATGATTGTCCACTAGGACTCTGAGATCCCTCTCACAGTTACTACTATTGAGTTACTACTCAATAGTAGTAATTCAGAAAATTGTGTTCTTTATTGAGTGAATATGCCCCATTCTTTGATGTCTACCAACTTCAGTCTATTGTCCGTCCTTGGCAGTATTCTTCAATAAACAATAAACAAAACCACATATATATTTTGATGGCCCACAGAGAGATATCTTACGTT